TGCCTCCTCTGTCATCTCTATAATCATTTCCCTACATTGAGACTTCAATTAATACAACAGCTTCACTAATAACCTTTCCATAACGAAATGCTCTATGATGTGTACCGAATAAGATATATCTTCCCTGATACAGGATATAAAGGCCCCTCACAACCCAACAGTTTACATTTCTATCTTTTCGGTTTCATCTATATTGTCTAAAACCTCCTGTACTATAATCCCCCCGACCCTCCATACACATATTAGACTCTTCGAGGCAACATATATTTCCAACTCTCTCGTCATTTGTTCCCCCAGTAAACAATGATTTCATTATTTAGAGTCCACTCCAAAAGTCGTATCTCTGCGACTTTTTGTGATCCTCCCCTGAAGAATAGATAATTTAATCATTTGTGAATTAGAGATAGTGATTCTACTTTGCTTAGTATTTTGCCCTATTATATGGTTTTATCACACCATACTATTTTAACTATGTATTTACATACCATTTTCTCCTGGTGCTCTTGGAGGATCAGGCTTCACTCATTTTTATTCTTTATTCATAAAATATAGTAGGATCTCTCTTCCCTTTCACCTGCCATTATTTCAATCCCTCCAAACTCACTGTACTCCCAAAAGTCAAAGAAAAAAAGGAGAAATAATGTGTAAATAACAATCATTGACAACTTTGGGCACCGAGAAGAGTAAAATAAATCAGGGGGCAGAGGTTAAGTGTATGCCCTCAAATCCAAAGGCTGGTGGGGATTTAGAGGGGCATTAGAGAGGATGTCCTGTACCAAAAGAAGCTTCAAGCAAACATGGCCAAAGAATGCTTGATGGCTAAAGGGACTATTTTAAGGTCGTATTTAAAAATATGGGCGTGGTGGCTCACGCCTGTAATCCCAGCACTTTGGGAGGGCGAGGAGGCAGACTGCCTGAGGTCAGGAGCTCGAGACTAGCCTGGCTAACATGGTGAAACCCTGTCTCTACTAAAAATACAAAAATTAGCCGGGTGTGGTGGTGCACAACTGTAGTCACAGCTATTCGGGAGGCTGAGGCAGGAGAATTGTTTGAACCCAGGAGGCGGAGGTTGCAGTGAGCCAAGATCGTGCCACTGCACTCCAGCCTGGGCAACAGCGCAAGACTCCATCTCAAAAAAAATAATAATAAATAAATACGTATAGGGCTAGGCGTGGTGGCTCATGCCTATAATCCTAGCACTTTGGGAGGCCAAGGCACATGGATCGCTGGAGGTCAGGAGTTTGACACTAGCCTGGCCAACAGTGAAACCCCATCTCTACAAAAAATACACTAATTAGCTGGGCATAGTAGCAGGCACCTGTAGTCCCAGCTCCTCGGGAAGCTGAGGCATGAGAATCACTTGAACCCAGGAGGTGGAGGTTGCAGCGAGCCGAGACTCTGCCACTGCACTCTAGCCTGGGTAACACAGTGAGACTGTCTAAAAACAAATAAATAATAAATTTAAAGAAATGTATAAAGTACTAATAACCCACTCATCATGCAATAATCTTTACTTCAATGCACTTGAGGGCCTACCACAAGCCAGTCATTGCCCTGAACAATGGAGATAAATAGGTGAACATGACAGATAAGGTCCTGCTCTCATGAATCATACATTCTAACAGGGGAGACACAACTATATAATGTAATGTTAGCTAGTGATACACAACTATATAATGAAAGGTTAGCTAGTGATAAACACTATAAAGAAAAATCACAGTAAAGCTGAGGTAGGGTGGGCTGGGGTGGGTGGCTATTTCACAGGGTGATCAAAGAAGGTCTTCTAAAAAAGGCGACATTTTACTGAGATTTAATGAAACAAAGCATCTGAATCATATGCAAATATCAGCAGGAAGAGTTTTCCAGGCAAAAGAGCAAACTGGAAGAAGCAAAATGGGACCTTGCTGGACAGATTCAAGAGACTATGTGGTGGTGGCACAGTAACTAAAGGAGGGTCGTAGGAAATGAAGTCAACTCACTAGATAAAATAACAGGATTAGTCAAAAAAGAGTGATTACAGGTAACTTCTACTACATACAATTTCTGTCCTGTAACCTAACTTAGTTTGACCTGACACTTTACTGTAAATAAACTAACATAGCATTATTCCAAAATGGCAGTATGAAAAGTTACCACATGTTACAGTAAGGTCAATGGTCATATCCTACTCATAATTCACCAGTCTTCATCTCTAGTACCTACCTTAAAGTCTAACTTCAGTATCCTGTACTTTCCAGAGATCCAACACTCAATTCTGAATCCCCCCTTCCTCAGCTCCCCCTAGACCCCATGCTAAATTAGCACCTGGGGGCAGGAACTTTTTTTTTTTTTTGAGACGGAGTTTTGCTCTTGTTGCCCAGGCTGGAGTGCAATGGCACAATCTCTGCTCACCACAACCTCCGCTTCCAGGGTTCAAGCGATTCTCCTGCCTCAGCCTCCCAAGTAGCTGGGATTACAGGCATGCACCACCATACCCGGCTAATTTTGCATTTTTAGTACAGACTGGGATTCTCCATGTTGGTCAGGCTGGTCTTGAACTCCTGACCTCAGGTAATCAGCCCGCCTCGGCCTCCCGAGGTCACGCCTGGCGGGACCTTTGATTCTTACTTGAATTCTTGAATTCTTAAAGACATTTACCTTTTTTTTTTTTTTTGGAGATACAGTCTCACTCTGTCCCCCAGGCGGGAGTGCAGTGGCATGATCTAGGCTCACTGCAACCTCTGCCTCCTAGGTTGAAGCAATTCTTGTGCCTCAGCCTCCCAAGCAGCAGGGATTACAGGCACGCTCTACCATGCCTGGCTAATTTTTGTATTGTTAGTAGAGACGGGGTTTTGGTCAGGCTGGTCTTGAACTCCTGACCTCAGGTGATCTGCCCACCTCTGTATCCCAAAGTGCTGGGATTACAGGCTTGAGCCACCCCGCATAAAAATCTTACCATTCATCTTATCTCATTCCTATCAGGGATCTAAACCCTGCCCTTAGCTACTTAGAAATCTCTCTATCTCCTTCTTCTCCATTTCTACAGCTATCATTAATCTCAGATTATGGGAGTTGCCTAAATGATTTCTTTCCCTTCAATCCCTACCCTCAATCAGTGTGTATTAGTCACTACTGCTAAACTGACTTTCAAAACTTTTTCATCATTTCCTCATTCAATCTGTAAGGTCTTCAATGGATACCTAACACTTACTATGTAAAATCTAAACTTCTCAGTTTTCAAGATTCTCCAAAGTTCATAGTATCATTTACAACAATCTTTTATTAAAGCAAAGTGCTCCACTCCTACAAAGATTAATTCTCAACATTCCTAGAACAAACTTAGTTTTCTTATTTCCCAAAGCCATCAAGGCTGACCATGTAATTCCTAAAGCAATCTCAGTTTCTAAGCAGAATTTATGTATGGAAAAAAGTCCCAATAAAGAGAAAATGAGTGGTCTCATAAGAAAGGAATAAAAACAGAAAAATATCTTCTGATCAATAAAGGAAATTAAAGATTTCACATGACCAATACTGATAAATAACTAAAACATTCCACTGAAATCCAGTTTATAAACTGTTTTTACTTTCAGAGAAGAAAAAATTGTGGATCACAGATTTCAAGTCACTTGTCCAATGTCCCACATTTAACAAAAATGAAAAAGCATAAGCTTCTATGGACTGAAAATCCCGTGTAAAAACCTTGGCCTGTCTGCCTGTCTAACCACAGAGGAAACAGATGAATATACTCATTGGAAAAGCATTAAAATACCTGGATGTCAAATACCTATTCAAAGAGTGGACACAGGGTTTAAAATCCTGGTGCTTAAAATCCTTCAGTTGTTCCCTATAGCATTTAAATGCAAAACTACTTAGACAAAGCCTTTGTAAATCTGACTCCTAACCCAATCTACCAAGTCATTCCGCCAAGTTCCAATTACACCAAAGTATTTAAAAATGTTATTCTAATGATAATTTGTAGAGGATCTGCCATCATTATTACATTTAAGGAGAAGAGTAGCAAACAAAAAGATACTAAGGAAAAACGTGGGTGTTACCAATCTTTCAGTCTACATTAGGTTAAAAGCTGTTTACGAAACACAGTTTTGCATAAAAAAGATATTACTGAAATAAATATTAAAATACAACTTCTAACATTCCTTTCACCTTTCACAAGAAACTATGTAACTATTGAGTTTATGCTCAGGAATCATACTGCCAGGACTTGAGTTCAGGCTCTACCAAGTTCCTAATAACCTCTCTGAATCTCATTTCACATTAACCTCAATGTCAGTAATACCTATCTTGTAGGATTATTGTGCAAATTAAACGACAGAATGTGAAGCACTTATCACTATGCCTATAATACAACAAGAGCTCAGATATATTCCTCTAATAGTTAACTGTTCAATGAACATAGATTCGAGTGGAAATCTTAATTTTTGGCTTATCCTCAAATCCTTTTGTCTCTGACAATCTGCTGATGGTTAAAAATGTTCATTCACCATGAAGAATACCAATTACTCATTTGCATTCTGAGGACATCCAGGAAGTCAGGTGGATGCAATAACTTGATGTGATCTGATCTTCCCTTGTGTACAGAGGTTGTCTTTAGGCACCTTGCTCAATGTCTAGCTCGTAGTAGATGATCAATATATTGAGGGAATACTGGAATGAATGAAACTGTCTGGCCAAATAGCCTCAAAGTTTATCATAGAACTGAATCACTTACATGGCTCTTCCAGTAGCAACCATTCTGACCTATGGATGACCTAAATTCTAATTTCAACTTCCACCATGGGGCCATATTCCAAGAACTCATATAAAAGTGAAGCAACAACGGATGGATGCTCAGTTGAGGGTACATGGTGTTTACGGCAGTCCCAAAGCTGAATTTAAAAAGGCACACCGCAGGACAATGCATCAATATATATGACATCAAGAATAAAAATGTTAATCCCTTCTGCCTTTCATCTTTTAAAAACTGTCTTTGATGTTACATCAATTTCAACATTGTAACTCACCTGTTTTTTCAGTTATATCTGAATCAGGAGTGTTTGCCCTGCTAACTTCCCCTTCAGCATTCTCTTCTTCAGCACTAAGAGAAATTGGTGAAGAAGGGCCAGGCTGGGAAGGTTGAGGGGTTGCTTCGGGCGCTTCCTCAATCTTACTCCTTTTCTCAAAGCGAAAACGGTCCAGGTTGAAAAGATTCATATTGATAGAAACCACCACCTTGCAGGGATGGGGGCTTTAAATGAACTATCTGCAGGGGAAAAATAAAGGAAAAGAGACCATGAAAACAATATGAAATACAATGCCACAGCAGTTTATTCCCAAGGCAATAAAGGGCCCGCAAACATGCCAGTGGCTCAGGACTATTATGGCTGCGCTTCATTGTTAGGCCACAACGATTAGAAGGTGGACGAGGGGTATCTTTTCAAAATTTCCATTGCTTTTCACTCCCCTTCGTCCGCCTCCCCCGCCCGCCCCTCCTTACTGAAACCAGGAGCTGACCCTCGTGCAACCTCCTCTTACCCCAGCACGCGCAGGCACGTTCCCCAGTATAACCCCCTAGCGGGCCTCGCGCCCGCCCACAAAGAGAGGCTCCCTGTGCTACCGTGCCCCCTGCCTCGAGAAAGGACCTGCCAGAGCCCGCGCCTCGACACTGCGGGGACACAAAGGGGCCAAAGAAGGGGAGCGGCGGAGGCCGTGCTGGCGGGCACCCGCCCGGAAGTTGACGCGGCGCGATCCCAGCTGAGAGGAAGCTGATAGGATTAAGAGCACACAGGAAGGTTCAGAGGTGGAGTGTATGCTAAGGCATCTTTTTAACGTTCAATCGCTCGCTTGTTTTTTCTTCCCTCAGTACTTACGATCTTGTAGCCTCAGAGCTATGTAACAAAGGTTGAAAATAAAAAAATAATTCCTGGCGTGGGCCGACGGTAGCCGTGCCGGGACCTTCCAAAACAGCACGGATAAACCTTACGAGCGCGTAATGATGACGCAACACGCAGCCTAGGCTTTTTCTTCCCAAACAACGCGCGAGCCGAAAATGTCTAGGCGCGCGCTGTTGTCATGGTAATTCGTACCCGTCTCTGCCGGCTTGTAAGGGCCAGATTGATCTGTACCTTTGTCTGTCCTGTTAAGTTAGCTACAGAGTTATCAAATAAAACAATAGTAAATTGCATAATGACAAAAAATATATATATATAATACAATTAGTATATATTGTAGGTATTATAATCTGTAGTGTTTCATCTATAATGTAGATAGCATAATAGTAATAATATTGTGCTAAGCATTTTAAGTGTATAATCCCAGTCCTTGCAAGAAGCCTATGTTTACAAAGCAAAGAAACCGAGACCTGCAAATGTATTGGTAATTAGTGAGGGATAAGAACCCGCTTCAAAGCATTTGAAGTAATTCCTCACTTTCGGCTTGATTATTCTTAGAGTGGAATTTGATTAATTTATTTAAAAAAAATGTTTAATTTTTAATGTTTGCGGGTACATAGTAGGTACATATTTATGGGGTACATAAGATATTTTGATACAGGCATGCAATGTGTAATAATCATATCAGGGTGAGTGGGGTACCCATCACAAGCGTTTACCCTTTGTGTTTCAAACAATCCAGTTATTTTAGTCATTTAAAAATGTACAATAAACTGGGAACGGCGGCTCACGGCTGAATCCCAGCACTTTGGGGGGCCGAGGCAGGCGAATCACAAGGTCAGGAGTTCGAGACCAGCCTGGCCAACATGGTGAAACCACGTCTCTACTAAATATACAAAAAATTAGCCGGGCGTAGTGGCAGGCGCCTGTAATCTCAGCTACTCGGGAGGCTAAGGCAGGAGAATAGCTTGAACCTGGGATGCGGAGATTGCAGTGAGCCGAGATAACTTCACTGCACTCCAGACTAGCAACAGAGCAAGACTCCGTCTCAAAAAATAAAAATAAAAATACAATAAATTGTTGTTGACTATAGTCATGCTGTTGTGCTATACTAGATCTTATTCATTGTAACTGTTATTTTTGTACCCTTTAACCATGCTCACCGACCACCGAGGCCCTCCCACGCCCCACAGTACCCTTCCCAGCCATCGTTCTACCCTGTTTCTCATGCCTTCAACTGTTTTAATTTTTTAGCTCCCAAAATACAATAAATGAGAACATACCAAGTTTGTTTTTCTATGCCTGTCTTATTTCCTTTAATATAATGACCTCCAGTTCCATCCGTGCTGCAAATGACAGGATCTCATTTTTTTTTAATGGCGTATATGCACCTCATTTTTCTTACTCATTCACCTGTTAATGGACACTTAAGTTGCTTCCAAATCTTGGCTGTTGGGAATAGTGCTGCAACAAACATGAGAATGCAGATACCATTTCGATATACTGATTTCCTTTCTTTTGCATGTAATTCACCGATCTTGATGGAAATATTACCTTAAAAATATATACTCCTGGCCGGGCGCAGTGGCTCACGCCTGTAATCACAGCACTTTGGGAGGCCAAGGCGGGCGGATCACGAAGTCAGGAGATAGGGACCATCCTGACTAAGACGGTGAAACCCCGTCTCAACTAAAAATACAAAAAATACGAAAACACAAAAAATTAGCTGGGCTGGTGGGGGGCGCCTATAGTCGCAGCTACTGGAGAATGGCGTGAACCTGGGAGGCGGAGCTTTCAGTGAGCCGAGATGGCGCCACTGCACTCCAGCCTGGGCAACAGAGCGAGACTCCGTCTCGGAAAAAGCAAACAAAAAAAAGTATACTCCTGGGCTAAGAGCAGTGGCTCACGTCTGTAATCTCAGCACTTTGGGAGTCCAAGGCAGGTGGATCACTTGAACTCAGGAGTTTGGGACCAGCCTGGGCAACATAGTGAGACCCCATCTCTAAAAAATATACGAACTTATCCAGGCATGATGGCACACGTCTGTAGTCCCAGCTACTTTGGGGGCTGAGGCAAGAGGATCACCTGAGCCTGGGAGGTCGAGGCTGCAGTGAGCCATGTTTGCACCACTGCGCTCTGGCCTGGGTGATAGAGCGAGACCCTGTCTCAAAAAAACAACTAAGATACACTCCCTTTGTTCCAACATTAGACAAGCAATTTTCTGAGTTATAATTTGATCTTCTGGTTGGCATTTCCCATAAAGAGGAATTGCTACAAATGATCATTCTGCCAGATACATTAGCCATTGTAAACTTAAATTGGCAGTCTGTTTTATAAGTCAGTGTTGTGAATTGTATATTTACAACACAGACCCACAGTTTTATCAAGTGTGGGCACATTTATAAAATCCGGTGTTTGGGCCCATAAAACTCAGGGTCAAAGCCTGAACAATTAGGACTTCCTTTATACCTGTCTTTAGTATCCCATGAAATGCATTAGTTTATGCATGCATATTAAATTATATGATCAGAATATATTTACTTATGGCCAGGCACAGCGGCTCATACCTGTAATTTTAGCACTTTGGGAGGCTGAGGTGGGAGGATCACTTGTGGCCAGGAGTTCAAGACCAGCCTGGGCAACAAAGGGAGACTTCGCCTCTCTCTCTCTCTTTTTTTTTTTTTTGTTTTTTTTTGTTTTTTTTGAGACAAGGTCTCACTCTGTTACCCAGGCTGGAGTTCAGTGGTTCAATCTCGCCTCACTGTGGCCTTGACCTCCCAGGCTCAAGCGATCTTCCCATCTCAGCTTCTCAAGTAGCTGTAACTACAGGTACTTGTCTCCATGCCTGGCTAATTTTTACATTTTTTGTAGAGATGGGATTTTGCCATGTTGGCCTGGCGGTGGGGGTGGGAGGAGGCGGGTTGGGGGCATCAAGGCTGCAGTGTGCCATGATTGAAAGAAAAAGAAAAGAAAAAAATAATATATTTACTTATAAGTAGTAAATTATTTTTGGTGATGAAGACAATTTGATTCTATTTAGAGAGATCTGAAATTGAAAACAGACTCCTCTAGCTGAATGACCTTTCTAAGTCCTAGTTTCATCATTCTTTAAATGTGATTAACAATAATATTGACTCTTAGAGTGCTTTTCTGCAACAGTACCACCTCTTGACATTATAGCTGGGACAAGATTGAAAATGAACCACATAAATAAAAAATGTCTAAATATTCAAACATTATAAATATAGCTAACAAAATGTAAAAGTTACGTATGTTCTTCCTATTTTGAAAATACCAGGGAAGCCAAGTTGAATTTAGAATTTCTATTGTGTCAGAATATGGGCTAATGAAAGAGAACTGGTTGGCTCATATATCCTGCCTTCCTAGTGCCACCTTTTCATACTCAATTTGATACTAATGTTATCAGAAATGATATCATAATGGGCCATGTGATTATGCATATAGATGCCCAGCATATGGACACCCAACTCTGGCCCCCAACTAGGGTTACCATATTTGTTTTTTTAAAAAAGGGACATACAGTTAAATTTGAATTTTAAATAAACAATGAATATATTCTTAGTATACATTTGTCTGATGAAATACTTGGAATTGATACTAAGACATTATTTGTTGTTTATCTGAAACGCAAATTTAACAAGTTGCCTTGTATGTTATTTGGCAAACTTACTGCTCTCCCACTCCTTTGTCACCTCTTGGACCTGGGGGCCTTTTGGCACATTTTTGCCCTAGGATTATAGATACTGAAAGCACTGTCCTCAGTAGGGAGGACCTCGGGAAAAGTCACTGTTAGACTTCTTGGGGCTGTGTGAGCAAAGAATTTTAGGGACCAGGTACTGGAATTATTGTCTAAAAGTGAAGGCACAAGTTCTGAATGAACATGTCTTCTTGTTCCCAAAGATTCCTTTAGGGCAGGGCATAGCTGGAAATAACTAGATTTTGCTCTTTAAAGCACTAGACCAGGATAGGGACCCCTCTTGACCAGTTCTAAGGGTAGGATTTTTCTGCAACCTTCATTGACCTGGGAGAATTATAATGATTCATGATTGGGGTTTTCTTTGAAAGTGAAGTAGAAGTTTAAGGAGATGTGTTAGTTTGCTAGTGCTGATATAGTAACAGCCTGGATGACTGAAATAACAGAAATTTATTTCCTCATGGTTCTGCAGGCTAGATGTCTACTCTCAAGGTGTTGGTGGAGTTAGTTTATTCTGAGAGTCATGAAGGAAAGATCTGTTGCAGACAATAGATGAAATTGATGAATTAGGCACGTGTGGTGGCACATGCCTGTAGCCCCAGCTACTCAGGAGGCTGAGGCAGGAGAATTGCTTGAACCCAGGAGGCACAGGTTGCAGTGAGCCATATCATGCCACTACACTCCAGCCTTGGTGACAGAGCGAGATTCCATCTCAAAAAAAAAAAAAAAAAAAGAAGTCAATGAAATTAAAGAAATGATAAATATAAGATTCAGAGAAGTGAGAGTGAACCTTTGAATAATAGGTGTAAACAATCATACATACTCATCTACACATGCCAAAAAAAAAAAAAAGAAATAATGAAAAACATAATAGAAAATGTTCATGGGCCTTCATTTAGTCTGCAGGTGAAAGAGCTTAATGAAGTCAAGGCAGAATCTATTGAAAGAGACTATACCATAAAAATATCCTGCAGAATTTGTTTTAATTTCAAGAATTTAAAAAATGTCTTGCAAGCATTTTTCAGAAAAAAATCTACAGCCTACAAAGGGAAAGAAATCAAGCAAAAGTTTTTTTGTTAAATGTCAGAAAGTAAGGCCGGGCGCGGTGGCTCAAGCCTGTAATCCCAGCACTTTGGGAGGCCGAGACGGGCGGATCACGAGGTCAGGAGATCGAGACCATCCTGGCTAACACGGTGAAACCTCGTCTCTATTAAGAAATACAAAAAACTAGCCGGGCGAG